CAGCATCTGTTGTTTGAGCCCAGTCCCGTGCACATGGTCCAATCCTATTTGCTGATAGGTGGACTGAGGTGCAAGAAGGCTGGGACCCTGACATTTTGTGAGAGTGAGTTAGGCTTGAATCCTGGATTTTCCTGACTTAAAGTCCATGCTAACCATTGCATTACTTTAAACTTGCATGTGGTATTTTAGAGCTGACTTTTGGCTGACATTTACTTTGCACTTTTTCTCTTGAATCTTTTTCATTCTAGTGTCCATTGACTGTTGATTTAGAATGCACCCAGCTTTTTACACAAATCTAACCAATAATTAATAAATAATTACATTATAAAAGTGAAATTTAATATATTTAGCTTGGGGTACTTTATAAAACAGTTCAGATGAAATCTAGTCCATTGTGGGTTATGTGTAAAAGCTTTATTCCTTGCCAGCAGAATAAAAGCTTAATACCTTTTTCTTATAGGTATGCAGCCTCTCATGTACTCTGTTCAGGAGGCGTTAAATGCCAGGCCATGGTGGAGTCGTGTTGGAACAGATATTTGTTACTACAAGTAAGTATGCCAAAAGAATGAGATGAGCACATCAGACTTCCTATGTGGAAGACTAGAACAGAATCTGATATATGATGATAAAATAAATTATCATTAAAGGTGTAGTGGTAATATACTGTATTTTCTTGCATACAACAAGCCCCAAAACACAATACACACATTTTTTTGAAAGATAAATGAAGAGGAAAAGATTTTTTCTAGAGTTATGGCTGCATATAGGAGGAGAGAGACCAGGTGTAACTAGCAGATTGCCCTAAGGAAGATTAGCTTGAAGAGTGGAACATCAAGACCATTAAAAAGGAGAGATGATTATAAATGTGTAGTGAAGAACAGGGAGCCATTATTTCAGTTGACTCCCTCAGCTGCCTGAATAGTAGTGGCACATGCTGGACTATGGAGCAGGAATCAAAGTAAGGTGCTTCTATTTTGGTCAGAAAATCAGAGGTTAATACAACCTGATTTTGGGATGGCTGATTTTGGAGGAGGAACATGTGTATTGTACGCAAGAAAATATGGTACTTTTCCAAGTAGTGCCTCAAGTCTATAAAGGGTGAGAGCTACTACTCTAAGTGAATATAAAAGTCATTTCTTTAGGGACGTGTTTGAATTTATTTTTATGAAGAGTTTTAACAAGGGCCTTTAATAACAATGATTGAGTTTGCTAGTTTTGCTTCCCTTTCTCTTGAAAGTTTCCTATTATTGCTACCATACTTTGCTTTGATCAGTAGTATCAACATGAGATGATTATTGGGCATAAGTGTTTGAATAACCCTGCCCTTTTGTATTTCTTAGAGCCTTGGGGAGGAGGTTGTTGAATGTTCAGAAATGATATTACTTGATGTAATATGTTGATATGACTTCACTCTTAGGAATCACTTTTCCAGAAGTTCAATTGCTGCTGGTGGTCAGAAAGGAAAATCCTATTATACAATTACATTCACAGTGAGCTTCCCACATAAGGATGATGTCTGCTACTTTGCTTACCATTATCCATATACGTATTCTACGTTAAAAGTGAGCAATTCTCTGAACTAGATTGTTTGATATCCTTTTATATTTTTTTATAAATAATGTAATATATACTCTCATAAGTATCTGTCTCCATGAGAAAATTCTGCTGCTTCTAAATATTTTCTTCTGTAGATCAAAAGCAAATTTAAAAACTTAAGATATATTTGTGTTATTACATCATAGCATTCACATAAAAATGAGCAGATTAGAACAAATAGAATGTGCGTGTTTGCTTCTTCAAAGAAACACTGCAACAAATCTGGCATGATCTTTATTTCATTGCTATATGGGTCACTTGCTATGCATAGAGAATTACAGCTGTATCAGTAACTGACTCTTAAATATCCCTCCTCAAAAAAAAAATAGAGAGATGATATACACTGCAAACAGGAGGGAATGTATAAACATGAACAGCTGAATATCTTTCCTCTGTAAGATTGCTTAAGATAAACACTTTATTTTTTGTCATACACACTTGCAAAATTAAGAACCTTTTTATTATTTTTGGTTGAAGATGCATCTTCAGAAATTGGAATCCATGCACAACCCTCAGCAGATTTATTTTCGTGAAGATGTACTCTGCGAGACGCTAGCTGGCAACAGCTGCCCTTTAGTCACTATAACAGCCACGCCAGAATCAAATTATTATGAACATGTCTGTCAGTTCAGTAAGTATATGACTAGCCTCTAACTCACTGAAAATAATGTAAAATAAGAACGTTGTACAATTTCAGTGCAACATCTGTGTACAGTTGTTTGCTATTCCACGCTGTAAAAATAGCAATGTAAGATGAAACACTGAATTTAATGAGATTTTTTTTAAGTGTTGGTATGTTAAAATATTAGTGTTATGGTTTTAAAAAAACCATATTAATTATCAAAGATAAACAGATTTCATACCTATATTTGTTCAGTAAAGCACTCTCCATTGCTAGAGATTTATTAGTATCTTTAGGTTTTATCGTTATGTGTTTTTTTTTTTTTGAGGGCAGTTCCTACCTGCTTATTTTTTAATCATTGTTCTTGATGACTTTAGGAAAATTTCCTTCCAAAAAGACCCATTTTCCATAAAACTCATATCTTAAGTTGCATTTAGTTACCATGACTGTATCAGTCTTTATCTCAAAGCACCCCGGTTTTTTTTTCTAAATTTCCCTCATCTACAGAAAGAGAAGTATCATGTCATAATGAACAGCCATCACTTCCTTTAACTGATGGTATTTATGCAATTGGCCCTTTCAGGCTGTGCTTAATTTAAAAGGCATTGATGCATGTTTTTACCCATTAATATTTATTATTATATCCTGTTATCATTTATTCAGTGTGCACTTAAAAGAAATACTGGACTCCACCTGGGTAAATGGAGCTACTCTTTTTCAAACTGTTTTTTCTTACTTTACTTGTATTTATATCTTGCAATTTTTGTGCACACTCTTTTTAGGAAATCGTCCTTATGTTTTCTTATCTGCTCGTGTACATCCTGGAGAAACTAATGCAAGCTGGGTTATGAAAGGGACTTTGGAATACCTTATGAGTAGTAGCCCTGCTGCCCAGAGTTTACGAGAATCCTATATTTTTAAAATTGTCCCTATGCTCAATCCTGATGGTGTCATCAATGGAAAGTAAGTTCAGTTATGCTCACAAAAATGTAATAAATTAATGTGAGACCTTTGTCTATCTTCACAATTAAAATATTGTCCACTTTAATTTTGAGACTGAAAGTGCAGTAGTTTTCCAGAACTAATGTATAATTTATACTGAACTTTTTTGCACTTACATTTTTAGGCGTTTTCTAGTATGTTGTTAATTAGCAAAGCTGCTACATACAAATTTTAAATGCAAAGTATTTTTCTGCTCTTTCCAGTTAAAATTACTAACATACTCTTTTGAGAGCCTTGGTTACTCTGACTGTGGAAAAACTTAAACACATGGCCTTTTCTACGCAGTGGTTTTAGCTGGCTATGGTTTGAGGACGGTACTTTGAGAGCCTTGTTACACATTAATTGTAGGCAGCTCCTGGAGCTCTGAACCACAGGATTGTCCATGCATTAACATCTGAAAGTAGTTTTAAGCACACTTTAGGTCACTCCAGGGTAGGTTTATCTCTGATCTGTTACCCAGCTTGTGTTTCATTAGTGTGTGGCCACTCCCCACAGATGAGACACCGAAGTTGCTGTCCTCTAGCATCCCAGGATGCAGTGTCCCCTCCTCCACCCTCCGGTTCTGTATAGGCAAACCTTTCAACCCCTGAACTCTACTGCCCAGGGGGCAGTTCTGGCACCAAACCAACACCCTCTCCCTTCCCCCACAGATGCAACCCCATGCAAACAGCCTGCAGAGCACATGCCAAGTCTCAAGGCACTAAGAGTCCAGGAGTGGGAAATAGGGGGTGAGGAGGGAACAAATTAAGGGACTGGACTGGGGCTTCCTTCCTTGGGTGGGGGCAGTAGCTCCCCCAAAACCTTTCCTTCACTGCTCCTGGCCACCCTGGAAATTACGATCAGCATTCCCACGCCCCAATCCTAAATCTGTTTATTAAAACAAACCTTTTTTAATTTACTTCCTTTTTATTTCTTTTTAAAGTCTTTTGTTTTATTTTTTATTTTGTTTTAGTGATTGACTTCCTTTATTTCACCACTGTTTCCCTACCCCTATTTCCTTTCCACCTCCCATTTCATTACCCACCCCCATCCCATGAATCTCTCTGCTTCTCAGCTTCATGTTCTTATCCCCCACCCCCAACCCATCTCTCTCTCTCACCCATAGCAGGGATAGAAGCCCATCCTGGTTTACCAGCCCTGTAGTGGCAACTCACAGCTGTAGCTCCTAGTCAGACCCCTGCTTGCCAGCCCTCTAGTGGCAAGTGTCAGCTGTGTAGGTGAGGGACAGTGAGAAAGTTTTTAGCTTAACATGTGGCTGCTGCAAACTCAAGCTAGCACTAACACACATCAACATTTGAGCAGCTCGAAGTGCAACGTGTAACAAGGCCCTGAGTATACCTACACAGTGCAATGCAGCATCGTGTAGTGAATAGCTGAGTTAGCTCTAAAAGCTGGCTCTGAAACCAGAAACAGTACAGCTTTATAGATTACCTAACTCAGTTGGAACACTGTGCTGACATGCCTGTGTTGTTTCCAGGACCTAAACAAGTGTCTTTGCACAGTAGTGCATTATGGACATACAGGCTTATTTGGAGCTAGCATAAGTTCCTCTGTGAAGTGAATTCTATAAACATATCTAAAGAAAAAAAATAAACTGTATGTCTAAGTCAGGGGTGGGCAGTTATTTCAGGCAAAGAGCTGCTTACTGAGTTTTGGTAAGCCATCGAGGGCCACATGACAGGCAGCCGGGGCAGAAAGATATTAATTTTCTAAATTTTTTAGGGGCTCTGCGTGCCAGATGGAATGGCTTAGTGGGCCGCATCTGGCCCATGGGCCGCATTTTGCCCACCATGGTCTAAGTCATATCTCTGGCAGTAGACAACGTGCAATTAGATGGAGAGGTTTATGCCAGTGAGAGGAGAGCACAGGATCATTTACAAAATCTTAAACATTGCAACATGAACTATGCTTGTCATAGGGCTGTTTTGGGGTGATGCAGAATGTGTGGTCGGGCTAAAGCCTCATCCATTCATATTATGTACACCATCCATGCAATAGGAGCACTAGTGCACATAGATACTGGAAAAGAAGTATAACGGTAAAGTAGCTAAACTATGAACCAACTATGCACCATAGGATCTGATTCATATATACTGCACTGAATTAAGAGTTCGTACAAAAAACATACCTTCCTGCAGCTCCTAGACTAAGACTAGAGGGTTTTTCCCCACCAGATTCCATGACCAAAAAATGCCTTATAATGAAAAAAATGTTATATGCTAGAGCTTATTTTAAATTTTAGTCCCTATTAAAATGTTCAGAATTGTATTTTTATAAATCACATTTGTAGTAGTAGTAGTAGTCATAATAATAATAAACATTGTACCATGAATAATAAACACTGCACCCTTCTCATTGGTCCAATTTTGTGTGAAGCATAAATCACTTCTGTAAAATAATAATTTTCCATAGTGCTTGGTTTTGAAAAATGTTTTTCTGGAACATATTTTTATCAGAGGAGTTTTATTATATGCATGATGATTCAAAAAATATCTTTGGGTATGGCGTTTTTAGAACTGACTTTTAAAAAGTGGTGATATGTCATGCAAGACATTGTTCCTTTTATAAATTTGTTTTCTGTAGCCATCGTTGTTCTTTAAGTGGGGAGGACTTGAACAGGCAGTGGCAAAATCCAAATCCAGATCTTCATCCCACAATTTACCATGCCAAGGGCTTGTTACAGTATATGGCTACTATTAAGCGTTTACCTCTGGTGAGTATGTACATGTGTGTGTAGCCCCAGACAGGATATTCAGAAACATTTGTGTCAGTGTATCTTTTTGTAAGCTTATGTAATAGATTTTTGAAGCCATCTCAGATGCTTACAAATGTGATTTGAAGAGCTGACTGGAAACAGGTCTGTTTCCACTTAGGATGAATAAGAAAATCCCTATAGTTTATATTGTAGAAAAGTTTAGTTACAATCCCTGTTGCTGCTTTTGCTTTTGGTATGGTAAAAAATTCAAATTTCTGTAGTCTGATTTTTTTATTAAAAAGCAATTTCTTTTTACTACACAACTTGATTGTATACTGTGTCTTTCATCTCCTAATGTTCTATATCCTTCAGCACATGCAAATGTATGTAATAATAACTATAATAGATGAGGAAGTGTAGAGATTTGTTTACTTGTTTGCTATTGCAAATGATTTTGAAACATTAGTTTACATATTTCACATAATTTTGTAGGTCTACTGTGATTATCATGGACATTCTCGCAAAAAGAATGTATTTATGTATGGCTGCAGTATCAAAGAGACAATGTGGCACACTAATGTTAGTGCTGCATCTTGTGATGTGATTGAAGATCTTGGTTACAGGGTGAGTAAAAGTTAGACCTCAAGTTGTGAAAATGCATTTTTGTTTTCTTGGCTTCATGGTGTTGCTACTTTTTTTCCTCAGGATAAAGTCTTAATCCGTTCAAAAATGGAACATACGGTATATGTTTATTTTTTCTCAAACTCATCCACAGTAGATTTTGTTCACTTACCACTGTGTTATAACGTCCTATGGAAAGTATCTGTTGCAGATGTCTTTACAGCTACAATTTATACTTAGGGAGATGTGCACGAGGACAAATACATACACACGCTTACTGACTATTCTCATTGATTACTGCAACATATGTATTTTAAGCATATATTGGGAGCCACACTAGGAAGCTTTACAGATTACTTTCACTTTTCAGTCTCTAAAAGGTAGCATGGACTTCCTTTTTATTTTTTGCTGCTGTTGTTTGTCTGTACTGCTTCCAAGCATTGGCAATGGTGTCATCATACATATGATTGCAGGGTCACTAGTCTGATAACATTTTTACATATAATATAAGGATAATAACATTACAATCTATTATACATAACAAATTTGTGAATGGCTGTGGGTTGTTTTTTCCATTTTTTTTAAATTTCTGCAACCTCGCTTATAGATGCTGCAGCTTTACATCTCCATGCTTACTTAGAACTTCACATTTTATCAAGTTAATAGCATTAAAGATATCAAAGTATAAATGGGTTGACTTAAAAAGGTGTCAATTTGGCTACTGATTTGATTGGTAAATTTTGTTTGCTTCCATACGTTGCTGTATAGGAAATGCTTATAAACAAAGTAATAATAATAATCATTATTATGAGTGAAAAATAAAAGAAATAAATAATTGAAAGTGGAAGAGTATTTTAGAGTCTAAGTAGTTGCCCATTAAGGCCACTGGCATATGTTATGTTAATTGTGTGATGGGATCTGAGAAATTTATATCTTGGATCCCAAAAATTACTCCTGCTAGAGGGTCCAAGTAACATCTTCCATTCTGTGCATAGAAAGAATAGCATATGATTGTATAGCTAAAGACTGCATCATGGAGTACAAATGAGTTTGCATGAGTAATCTAGCATTTTCTAACTTCTGAGAGATTGGTTTTGCAACCCACATATTCTTTTAATGTACTTTTGTGGGTATTTTCCACTTCATTATAAACATATAAATTAAATATATAATAATTTCTAAATTAATACACAAAAGTCAAAATGGAATTTTTTTATATGGTTGAGTTATGATGGCCTTACAGTGTAATATCACTGCCACCTTGTGGTAATAGGTTGTATGTACAGTTAATTTCCTTTAATTTTTCAAGGATGATTGTTTATAACAGCAGAGGCCAAGAAATGCACCTATTTGCTGCCTGTCTGTATGGTTTTACTTAATGATCATATGGCTACACACACAAATGGCTAGTTATGCATCTGCCTCTTCAGTGCTTTTATATACAAAATATTGGGCTGAAATGTTGCTTCTGCTGCTGCAACACATGTATTACTTCCTATATACTTAAAAAAATAAAAAATGTCCTGTAATAATATTGAAATATTAAAAATGACACTTGTATCACTAACTAAAATACCTCTAAAGCGATGGAAAAAAAAGTCCCTCATACTTGCAAGGAATTTGTGGGTTGTCTTCCTCTCCTCCAGTTCATTAGTACTAGTATATTAGGAGTGTTTTCACTTATTACACATCCTGTAGTAATCTGTAGTATAGAATTCCTGTAGGTGTGTAGTCTAGTAAATTGACTGGTCTGTATATAACTACTACAGACACATTCCTGTTTCGTGTAAGAAACTTTCTGTTTTTCTTTGCATATGTGTCTGCATGTTCCCTGTCTGCTTGTTTAGATTTTTTTGGCCATTGGAAGCTATACTTGTGCCATGGTTATTCTCAGGCTTCTAGGCAAAGGCAGAAAGAATGGGAGGTGACTCAACTGCTTCTTAGTTCCTTCACACCACCTGTGCCTTGAAGGTCTTCAGTGTCCAAGCTCTTGATTACTATATGACCTTTGAATTTCCTTTAAACAGGTCTAGGAATAGGTCAGTACTTGTTTGTTCAGTAGTAAGATTTAGTGTAGGGTTGCCTTTTCTATGAATTACCTTAATTTAAGAATCTGTAGGGCACCCCTCTTTCCTCCCCCATTCCACTCTACCCCTCTATGCCCCCCTTTCCTTCCCAACCACAAAAGTCCTCCTGGTAGTATTTCCCATCTGCCCTCATGGAAAAGAAGTCTCTGGGGTTTAAGAATTGATCTTTATGTCAAGCAGGAATGCTCCCAGTAGTGGTCACCCTAGGTGCCTGTTTTGTTCAGGAGAGGGGCAAATTGATGATTAGTGGTTGATTAGTATGTAAGTTGTATTAAAGATGAATGCAAAAAAATAGGGAGGCTCATCTGGAAGTGTTCTCAATAGAAAGATTAGTGTATTCCTCTGACCCCAAAGGACTGTGGCAAAAAAACAGCAGTTTTTTGAAAGTGCACCTCCTCAGCCTGCTCCTCTGCTGTGCAAGTTCCTAAATGATCTTAGTGGGTAAGCTCTCACAGCATAGGAAAAAGGTACACTGTTAGTTAAGGGGAAAACATCTAGATCTCCTTCACAGGCTTTTAATTCTAAAAAGTTGCTGTCTCCCCATTTAGCCCAGAAGAAAGGGACTGGAAAGCCCAGAAAGGGTTCCCCCCTACAACCAGTGTGGGGCTTGTTACTAAGGGCCTTGTTGCACAGTAATTTGAGCTTCTGGAGCTCTTAACTTCTGGACTAGCTGCACATTAACACCTTTTAAATGGCTTAAAGCACTCACTGTTTGGTTTAACATTACATCACTCCAAGGCAGAATTATTTCTAAACTGCTTAGTTTTGCTCCTTTTCCATTAACTTGTGGCCAGTCTCCATAGTTTTTTCTGTCCAAGTTAAAGTCCTCTGGCATCCAGTGAGACAGTGGGTGAGCAGGGACACCAGCTCACCCCCTGGGATGTCCGGCAGAGCAAATACCACAGTCCCTGATCGCCTGATGGCTTTGATGCCTCCCACTGCCGCTCACACTGGCTCTGCTCCTGGAAGCTGTCCAAGTTGGGTAGGGGCACTGCCTCCTTGCCACCACTCATACCAGCTCTGCTTCTGGTAGGAACAGAACAAACCAGTCTGAGTTGGGGGGCGCACCACCTCTCTGCCACTGCTTGCACTGGGACAGGACAGCAAGGAGTAAACAGAGCAGCAGCTTGCGTAAAAAAGGGGGATTGGAGTAGCACTCGGGGAGGGTCCAGGGCTAACTTGTGCCCTGTCTGCCAAAAACGTTGGCCCGCACTAACTCAGGTAGTCATGGAGGCTTGCTTAAGAAATATAGCAATAATAGACAGATGGAAGGGAGCTATTTAGAATTTAGTGCTTTATGTTTGCAAAACACTAGTCCGTTGTAGAAGCCTTAAAATCTGGCGCTTGTTTTGGAGACAGTCATTTACTTAGACTCCTGGCACCTACCTCCATACCAAATTAAGTCACTGCTTGGGAGTCACTTTCACTGTATGGACAATACTTGAGGAAGAAACAGCTATGTAGCTTACTAAACCAGCTATTTGAGATGTGTTGTGTGTGTGTGTGTGTAAGATATATACAGCTTATCACCCTCCATTTTTCTCCAATAGTATGGATGATTTTAAACCTAGATTCTGGTGGAACTGAGGAGCAGCTGGTTTTACCCTGTCCTTTGTACCCTTAGTTTGAGTCCTAAGGATGCTTGAGGCTTAGCATGAACTGCAACAAACTGCAGGCTAAAAAAAATCTTAACATAAGTGCACAGACCACAGGTACAGTGTCAGTAGGATACATAGATCTTGAAGAACTCCCATTTATTGTAAGGTAAGTAATGTTTTTTACTCTATTATGGGGTATGTATTAAGTGAGAAGACACTTACTGTGCTTTGTAAAACATAGTCCAGGCAAACCCAGGCACAAAGTAGTGACAGGGAGAATAAATGGTACTGATGTTTATAAGTTTCCAGATTTATCACATTCTTCATGAATGGGAAATCCAGAACAAAGCTATTTTGCAGTAGTCCTGTTTTCAAAAAGGAAATCTCATATAAAGATCATCTCTTTACTTTTCAGTAGTGTTGTCATTCTTAAAGTTATTAAAATATTTGAAAAATAGCAATTTCTGTTGGAACTGTTTATCATGTTCTAAAGGATTGTGGACTAATGGTAGAGGTGATACCTTTTATTAGACCGACTATATTTTTTGCAAAAAAAAGTCTTTAGTTGCAAGTTTTCAGGCCCAAACACCCTTCATCAGGCATTGGAGAAAAGATTGTAAAAGTTCTCCAGGGTAGAAATGGAAGTTCATATTTCATTGGAGAGTTGTTACTTTGAGTTATGCAAAACCTAATTTAACACAAAATACAAAAACTTTCATTTGCCTTAAACCTCTAATGAAGTCTTTTTTTTTTTTTTTTCAAATTCTTGTCCTTTAGGCTCTTCCTAAGATTCTCAGTCAGACTGCCCCTGCATTCTGTATGAGCAGCTGCAGTTTTGTTGTGGAAAAGTCTAAGGAATCGACAGCACGTGTTGTAGTCTGGAGAGAGATAGGAGTACAAAGAAGCTACACAATGGAGAGCACATTATGTGGCTGTGATCAGGGCAAATATAAGGTAAAGAAACTAGATGAAATTAGAGCCTCTTTGTAGGCTGAGTTTACAATTTATTGGTATCCCTTCCCAGAACCCAGCAGATTTCTGGCTTTTGAACTCTTTTAAAAAGCCCTCTGAGATACTCATGCATTTTACATCATTTAGTGTGTTTTGTTGTCTCAGTATGATAAAATAACATAGATTGTTCACTGTGGCTCTTCTTGATCTATCATTCTGGAAACCAGTATAGTATGTTCTGTTGATTATCCATGTTAGCAAGATTACCAATAATAGTTGACTTTTAAGTACAAGTTTTTCCGGTTCAACTGTTAAAGTGAGGCATTTTATGGTTTCTGCAGTAATTGTAACTGTGAATCACTAACATTATTACTTAACAGTATATACAAGTATTGGGATACACATTTCTTGGGTACATTCTAGTTTACAAGGACTCAGTGGTAGAGCTTTTCTCTTGGTACAGACACCCAGCCGTATATTTTTTAGACTGCTTTAGCAGTTCAGTATCCCGTTGAGCAGTAGATAAAGGTAATGGTCTTTGGCCCTCCTAACAAATTTTGTGCCTGTCTTTTGAAATTGGGTTTTATTAGTAAGTGGTCTCACCTGTACTGGGTGGGAAAAACATCTTTTTGGGCACCATTTACCCAACAGAAAACAGGAGAATATCACTGAACAATCAGTCTTTAGATTGCCTCCATTCCTTTTCTTTTCCCCTGTGTCAAATATTACTTCAAGCCTTAGAAAGGCACACTACGTTGTATCTTTTTCTGCTTGTAATCAGAGTTGTGCCTGAATAGAAAAGGACCCGAAGGAGGTAGAAATCATCTTACCAAAAAGGATAATGAACTGAGAACTCAAACCAAAAAAAGCAAAGATATCCTCCAGAGGGTTTGAGAAGAACCATTTTCTTCATTCATAGCTTCAGTGGGATCATCTGAAAATTCTCTCCAATATTGAAGGAAACACTGGTATAGCCTTACCAAAGGCAGTACAGAAATGCCTCTCTACTAAAGAGATAGGTATCCCATCAGAATGATTTTTTTTAAGTGGAAGAATCCATGTGTATGTGTCCTCATTCAGGAGGAAGATGAGAGCTATAACAGGTTCGCTTTATCTGAAGTTCAGGCTTTTTATTTGAAGTTAAAATCTTGCCCAGAAGCAACCTTTTTTTAGCTTTGTCATTTGTGGTTCAAGATACAGAAGGTAAGTTCCCATGAGGAAAGTTGCTGCAAAGATCTACTATGTAGGTGATTATTAGAGCATCAGAAAACATGAAGCTCCCTGTCTTCTTTAACTATTTCATATCTTAAGAGGGATGGTAATTTAACTATAGAAACTTCGGCTTTCATATTTTAACAACTAAGGTATTATCAAAGTTCTCAGTAATGCAGTATTATAAATTAGTAGAAATCTGGAGGTTCTGATATAAACATAGAAAAGAAATCGTTTAAATCAGATTCAGTCAATAATACCAATACTTTCTAATGAATAGCATCTTACAATCTCTAGTTATTGAGCTCATGAAGATTTCCTATTTTATACTTACATATTCTGAGTGAGGGAAGTCAGCAGAAGAGAGAGAGTACGTGACACTATAGTATTGTCCCTCCATAAGAACCATATTTTCAAATGTCTGAACTGGTAGTAACAAGCCCTGGTAACATTTTCACAGAAAAATTCATCCCAGTCAGAAGCAATGTTTGTCTTAGCCTCTGGTAACTTAGACCCATTTGCCTGAATGCTGATTGCCAACAACTGGTTAGAAATGACTGTCCACATAAAGCCATCCCCATGTTGATTATAGCAAGGGAAACGTCAACTACGAACATCAAATGATAGAAAGAAAATAATTGTATAAACTTGTGTAAAAGCTTAAAATATAATCCATACATTCTAAATTGTGTGCAGACAGCTGAGTCTAGACTCAAAACTAAGTTTTGTGATGGCTTTAATAATTGTAATACATCATAACATTTAATGTTTTGAAAAATTCATAGAAAGACGAACAGACTTTATCAGGGCTGCAGTGAGTATGACTCCCTTGCAATCCATAGATGACATTTGAAACATTAAACTCTGCTCACTGAAGCAAATGTGGAGTCTTTCACTTCATAGAAATCAAGCTAGTATTCCCTAGAACAGTAACTTTGATCTGAAAATGTTCAAAGATCAACCATTTTTGTAGGATATTGTGTTTTTCCATAATGATACAATGTGGTACTAAAAACAGATATAGCCTTTGTGTTGCTCTTCGGCCCAGTTCTTCAGTGCATCAGCATTAAGATCTTTCACAATTCTCTTTTCTTCTCCTTACTCATTCTTCTTTCGTTTTAAGTCCATCTCATTTCTGCTGTCCCAGTGATACTAGCCTTGAAACATACATCCTGCCACTAAGGATTATATTCACACTTTCTTCCATCCTGCTCTATCCCTTTCTACCTTACAATCCACTTCTATGATGATTAGAAAAAATCTATCAGTACTACGTTACTAGCTCAGGGACAACAGTGGACTGTACTTTTTAAAGGTTTTTGAACTCCCATTTTGTACTTATTGCAGTTACTTTTAATGGCTTTTTTTTTCTTTTTCCTATTCTACTAATTTGTTTCTGCTTATCCTTATTAAATTTTAAGTTCTGTGGGACAGGTCTTCCTGTATTGGGCACCATTTAACACAGTAGAGAGCCCCAGTTATGTTTGAAAATTTTGAATGTTACCACAGCACAAACAAATAGGCCCAGTGGATATGATACTCAAAGCTAGAAGAACTGAGTTATGTTCTCAGTACTGTAAGTGATAGAATGAGAGACTTTGGGCAGATTACTTCTCTGTGCCTGAGTTTCTGCAGCTATAAAGTAAGAATGATAGCAGCTCGTTAGGGTCTGGGCAGACAAACATATAGTCTGGTGTAATTGACATTGGTTTTGTATTCTAGTGCAAATTACACAGGCATAAAGAATGGATGTTGCAAGGGTAGCGGCACACATTATATGTCTGTTACTGTACCTTGCCACCAGGTGGTGAAAGAGTAGGTTTGCTATTAACAAGTGGCTACCGAAGACTGGATGCAGACGGATCAAATCTAAACTGAAGTAACTTTCATGAATGGAATATTACCCCATTTCTTTCAGGGGTAATTTTCAGCTGGTGTTTAGGCAAAGTTGTTTATGTTCTTCTAAAGTTACTCATATTTAGGAGTTTGTGTCATCTGTCTTCTATTTTTATACTAGTATAAACATATCTGTCCATGCCATTAAAATGTTTTTGGAGATCTAGAAATGAAAAAGAGGGAATTACTATTACCATTAATAGTAAATTCAGATGTCAACTAACTGCCGTCGTTTCCCTGCTGTAGATTCTCCATTGCATGTGGCTGGAGACTGGAATGATGACGGAGAATGGAGAATTTGGCATTTAGCTTTTTCAGTAAAAACTACCAGTATTTGCCAGTGAAAACTAGAGAGTACAATTGTTTGAGGAAAAGGAAGCTGGTAGGAAACCTAAATCAAACTTTACTTGGGTTACCTTTCCATATGTCAGTATAAAATACTGCATGAATGAAAAGGAAACAAACACTGTTTCGGTGGGAAACTTTAAAAAAAAATCACTGTCTTTAGAATTTCAGTGGTAATTTTTTTTGGTTTTATTCTAAAAATGATTTTTAGTACTGTATGCATTTCTTCACTGGATTACTTGTTAGCTCTACTCATTTTTCTCTATTTATTTCTCCCCAGACGTTAATTTTAAAAAGGCCTTATTGTAATATTGTGAAGAGTAAATATGAATTTGTGCCTGAGATTAAGAAATGTTCATGTAGGTTATTCCAGGAGGCATTCATCGAATGCCTTCCTGCCTTGTTTCGGTGAGTTTATTCTCCTTCATTAAAATGTTTTTAAAAGCCTATTTATATAAAAAGATCCAGAAGCTGTAAATTAAAAGGAAGGGGGTAAAAACACCTACTTTTTGCTATCTCACTTGTGTTCTGTACTCTGTATGTCTGCAGCTATCTTTTACAAGTAAGCTATTTTTGATAAGTTTATTACTGTGCACTGCACTAAGTATGTAGTCACTGCTGACTAATTAAATAATCATAATAAACTGTTTCATGGGGTCAGTAGTTTTTAAAGTACCTTTCCTGCTCTAGAAAAAATACTGTTAAAAGCAGTTGTGAATGCCTGCATTCGGATGTTCTCTCATACATTTTACTGTTTGTTAAATTTACTTTTAATACTCTTCTCAGTCTGTGCATGACAAAAAAAATACATCTTTGTTTCATTACCTAAATTCTTTCTATAGCAAGAACCTATGTCACCTTGGTTAACTCGGGTAAAAATAGCAAATAATCTTTGTTTGCCTATTCTAGTGGAGAAATGCATAAGCATATTCTTTGACAGAATTAACAAATGTATTTTCTAATGTACAGTAGGAGGGAGAGATGTTATATTGATTTTCATTCTTGGAAAGCAGTAATTTTGTATATTGGTTTTTAAATCAATTGGTACAAATTAGTCAGTTTGATAAATTTAGAAAATGAGAGTGCTCACTTTTCATTCTGACAGTTTCCTGAAGAAAATTTTAATATAAAAACATTCGTGTAAAATCAGTACTTCTGAAGAAATGATTTAAACTTAAAATCGTTTCCATTAATGAATTGCAGAAGGCTGCTAAATACAGACCTATGAATCTATCTCGTTTTAAATATAACAGCTATCCCATTAGTATTTATGGGAATTAAGTATATAAGCCACCATCTTGAACACCTTAGATGCATCATTAATGACCTCAAACCCCTCCTGGAAAAGGACATATGTCTCAGGGTAGCTATGAAGGACATCTGTCTCAGGGTAGCCTGTCCTTGCTTACAGGAAGCCCCCCAACCTCAAATGACATCTCTCAAACACCAGACCATTTAAACTTCTGTTCTCACCAAGGCACCAGGCCTTGAAATGGACCTAGATACTTGCTGTGTCTCAACCTAAGTACAAACCACATCATCACTGGACC